CGATCTTGTTGTCGCTGACCACGAAGGCGGCATTCTCGTCGTCGATCAACGCGTAGAAGTGCAGCTCGAACTTGTAGGCATTCACTCCACGGGCTCCGTGCCCGTTGGCACTGAAATTCACCGAAACCGGCGAAAAGTCCGCGATGGCGCCCTGAAATGCATTTTCAGTTACCATTATTGATTTTTCGCTTCGCTCGCTGCTGTTGTAGCTATGCAAATGCAAGCCCACTTACCTTGGCATCTTTGAGGTCCACTTTCAGTAACAGGGTTTGCTTGGTCTGCGACCAGTAGACCAGCGGACTGAGATTTGTCATTTGGTCTTATCAAACAAATAATAACATCTCCAAACCGAAAATAACCTTTGATTTCGCTGCGAATGCGTTTTGCAGCACTGCCTGTGTGACCGCACAACGGGTGTTGGAGAACCCTCCAATCTGGTATATTTCAGATACCAACAGCATTTCCCGGCTAGCTGGTGGGAGACTTTGATGAAAATGGTGCGGAACTTAGCTTGCTTTTCGATTTGATTTCTTATTGGAATTTCAGCCGTTATGTTTTTAATTTCCCAACGGAATTTTAAACACAACTTAAATACATTCAAAACAAAATATGTTTTTTGTGAAAGCTAAAATCAGAATATTTCGAAAAAAGCTTAATTAATTTTATTGCAATGCAAAGTCTCTATATTAACTAGTCATCACATATTTGCTTATACCGTAATACTGTGAAGGTTAAAATAAATAAAAAATTGCAGTTGTATTTAGAAGTTTTTTGTTTTTTTTGCCATCCTTCTTCACATGTGTAATAATAACCTATTACATTAGTTTAAGCTGTAAGGTAGTTCTAATTTTCAGAAAAACAAGTCTAACATATTGCTGTGTATTTTTCTTTGGTGAGAATTTCGGGTCATTTGATTTATGAGCCGCCACCGCGAAAGTCGGAAGTTGTCAGACAACGGGCAAAACAAAGCCGAATAAGTGGGAAAGTCCTCGGAATCGCCGAGGGTGTGTTGGAGTATCGGGCATATATATCTATATACATGTATATATACCTTCTGTAGTGCCAGACATGGGCGCACTGCTGTTGTCCTGTGAGCTTCCTTCCTTTTTGGGCGGGTGGCGTTGCTAAAACAAAAGGCGACAACTTGTCAGGCTTGTTTTGCCATTGGATTTTGTAACTGGAGCAAGCACAAATGAAAACGAAATGGAGCATACGTGAGCTAGGCATAGGAATGCAGGAAGTGCCCTTGCTAATCCCGATGGGTATTACTATTTTCTACATCTCTTTCACAGCCATCACAACCAGCACAATCCCATATCATTTTGCACAGAGGCGTAGGCCAAGAATCGGGCGGCGGAAAAGAAAATGCTGCGGTTTCTCAAGAACCGCTAGACACGGCGTCTGCCCAGGCACCGCTATCGAACCGCCCATCTATCTATATGTATATGCTTAGCTGTATCTGTATCCGTATCCGTATCGGTATCTGTATCTTCGCGTCAAGGTAAGTCTACTCAGTAAGCTCCTTTATAAGATTACCGTTCGAAACATCGTAAGTGTTGCAAAGTTCTCAGGCACCTCGAGAGAAAAAAAACAAACTCCTATTTTTCTTATCCGTGAAATTGTATTGATTTGGCTTTTAAGAGGGCCCGCTGTGCATTATTGATGAATGCAATTTTGTCGCCAGCGAAAACGAACAACGACCCTTTGTGGCACTGACCCTAAAATATCCCATGCTGTTTAATTATGCATGCTCGGCCTGTATGGGAAGGTCAACCTCCTAAGTAAACAGATGTTTCACTTGACCAGTCCATCGTGGCGTATACTTGATGCGAACTGACGCACTTAAGCGCCCCTAATCACCGTTAATGACAACGCTGTATATGCGTGCCCAAACGACACATAGAACCTGTACGTAACGCCCATATATCTTGATAAATAGGAATACGCTGACATTTCCTCCCCCCCAAAAAAACACACCCAAGCCACAAATGCTTTCATATTTTGTTTGTTGTCCATTGGCGCCCGAACAAAGCGCAGCAAATGGTTAAGGTCAAGTTGAGCCGGAGTCGGAGGACGTCAAGTTATGACTGAGTGTTTGTGGATGGCAAGGAGGCGGATCCGGAGTCGAAAGAGGGGGTATATTGAATGTGGCATGCGTGTTCATATATGTTCTAATTAGGGATTCGACAAGGAAACAAGTCATAAATGGTAGGGCATCAGGAAATACACTGCAAAAGTTATCAGCTTGATAATAATACTAATACGGAATACCCTTTCTGAAATGTATTTATATTCTGAAAAAAAATGAGCATGAGAAATAATAAACATTCTAGTAACATATTAAATTTTCTATTCTGTAACAGTTGCACAATTGTTCTCCTAGGTTTCCGAAATGTGTGCATTCTTCCTCAAGATGAACTATCTTAACTACATTCCAACAAGTTTGGCCAGATCGCGTGTCACCTGATTGTTGGGAATTTTCGATTTTGTGGGTTGCCTAGTGATGAGCACCTCGGTGGTGGCCAAAAGGGAGGCAATTCCGGCGGCAGCCGTCATGGCAGATTGCATGACTTTTGTGGGATCCACGATTCCACGGAGCACAAGATCGTCAAACTCGCCGGCGGCTGCATCATATCCGTAGCTGCCACTACTCTCCAACACCCGACGCAGAACCACATTGGGGTCCACTCCAGCATTGCGGGCGATTGTATAGCAGGGTAGTCGTAGAGCATCCTTCACAATCTCCCTGCCCACCTGGTGCTCCACTATCTCAGTTGGCGGCAAGCCTTCCAGAGCTGGAATGCACCGTAGATAGGCGGTGCCTCCTCCGGGAACAACGCCATCACTGATGGCCACTCGAACCGCATGAAGGGCATCATTGAAGCGATCCTTTCGCTCGCTCACCTCCAGTTCACTGGTGCCGCCCACAAAAATGGTGGCCAGGTGGCCCTGCAAGCGTCCCAGTCGCGTTTTCAGCCGGTCCACTTCCTCATCGGTGACAGCCTCATCGATCAGCTCACGAATGTGCTGGATGCGGCACTCCAGCTGCTCCTCGTTCACATTGATCGGTTGCAAGAGGTGCGTTTCCTTGGCGTCCACCACCACCTCCAGCACTTCACCCAGATCCTCCTCTCTGAGATCCGTCAGCCTGGAGGCGTCCTCCAGGAGATCGCCGCCCGTAGCAAAAGCCAAGTCCTCCATTTCTTGGCACTGCTCCTCACCGAAGCTTGGGGCCTTCACTGCACAGACCTGAACACGACCTTGCAGATGATTTAGCACCAAGATCTTTAGCAAATCGCTGCCAAAATTTTTGGCAATGATCAGAAGGGGTCGTTCTTTCAGTCTGGCCAACTCCAGAGCGGGCAGGATCTGTTCCACTTGATCAATCTCTGCCAGTGTGAGCAGCAGCATGCAATTCTCCAGTTGCAGGGTATCGCCATTCGATTGTTTGGCAAAGAATGGCGAACAGTAGCCCGTGGCGAGGGTTACACCCTCCTGGATCTTAACCTCATCAAAGGGACTATGGGATTCCTTTAGCAGGATGACGCCGCTTTCGCCCAGCTCCAAAATCACGTCTCCAATCAGCTCCGCCAGCCGTTCGTCTCCGTTCAGGGCCACCTTCGCCACCGCTTCCACCTGTCCAATGGTATCCACCGACTGAGACATCTCACCTAGAGCCTCGCAGACAGTCCGCGATCCCTCGAGAATGCCCTCCCGCAGCAGTTGAACGTTCACCTGGCCCTGGCGCAGCACATGCATTCCCTGGCAGGCTATTCCACGGGCCAGAATAGTGGCCGTGGTGGTGCCATCGCCCACCTTATTGTTGGTATTGTTGGTGGCCTGGCGCAGCAATTGCACACCCATATCCTGGCGGCGATTGCCCAGCTGCACGTTGTTGGCCACCGTGATGCCATCCTTGGTGATCCGCGGCGATATCAGCAGCTGTTCGATGAGCACGTTCCTGCCCTTCGGGCCCAGAGTGGTGGCCACCGCGTTGGCCAGGACGTTCATGCCCTGCAGGAGCAGGCAGCGCGCCTCAGCTCCAAAGCGAATGTCCTTGGCGTAGGAGCGCACGCCCGCCCCACCACTCCGGCCCAATCTGCTCAGCATCCTGATTCCAGATCCTTGATACTCACGTTGCTTGTCGCAATTTTTAGGGAACTTCTAATTTACGTTTGTCAAAAGCTTTAACTGAAATTTAATTACCTTTCAATCGGTAAACTGGGGAAAATGCCACTCTAGGGGAGCTCTGTCATTTTCGACGTGTAACTCAGCGAAATGTAATCAAGTAACTACTTATACAACTGAGACCACAAATATTATTTAAAGGGTGTACAGAAGTCGCCAGCGGCAATATGGCGCTTTATTATGTTCCAACTTGTTTTCCGTTTCGTCATTTTATTTTAACAACAAATATTACATTTGCGCCATGTTTCCTGCTTGTTTTTCGGCTTTCGCTTATTAAATGTGGCGTGCACGTGTTGGTAAACTGAGGCACACAGACGCGGCACTCACACTAGCGCAGACACGACAGTCGCCACACCAACACAGGCGCAGTTCGGAGTCGCACAGACACGCTCGGCAGACAATGTGATTCCGCCATTAATATTAACGTTAAAGGACCAACAACAAAATGCTCATCAAACATGCGGCGTTTAGTAGGCGCACACACACACATACACTACACACACGCTTATAAAAGGACAACTGCCTGCGCGCGTGTGTGTGTGTGAGAGAGTGAGCGAGAGCGCTGTCGGGCATTTCCTCTCGTCTTTCGCCTCTTTCCGGTGCGTTGAATGTTTCGCTTTCCGTTTTCGTTCGCTGCTTGTTTTTTCTTTTTCCACTTTTTTTCGGTGTCTTTCAGTTGGCGTCGAGCGTTTCCTTAAGGCAAACGCAGCTTTGATTTGCCCGCCGCGTGTGCTGCTCCGCGCAAGGAAATATATTTCGAAAATAACTGAATATTCGTGTGTGTGTTTTCCGATCACTGATACCTGCTGATAATGGCTCTGGTGGCCCATCGGATGATGCTGCCAGCGCGGCATCGACGCAGCACCACCCAGCAGGTGGCCCGCAACAAGGTGGGCGTGCTGCTGGTTCCCAGTGTGGCGGATTACTACGGCGCGGAGGTGGCACCCGGCATGGCCACGCCCCTGCCCACTCCGGCCGCCTCCCAGCTGCAGCTGCCACAGGATGCGGCAGAGGCATCGGGCGATGGCAGCGGCGCAAAAGTGAGTGCAACAAGTCGGTGCAACGACCCACATTCGGTTGACTGTGCATGGAAATGGCAGGAATTTCCTCCGGGGATTTCCCCCAAAATAGCAGCCTCGCTTTCTCGTTTTTCTTTCTCCTACGGCTTCTGTTTTCGCCTTCTGCTTTTTTTTCTCCGACTGGCGCCAGCTTTATTTGGTCAAATGTGTGCTGTGCGATTTTGGGGCATAGTTGTGTTGTTCTTGGTCATGGTCGGGATTAGAAAAAAACACTTTTACTTAATCAAGTATACGACATGTGGCCGTCAGGCCATAAGGAATATTAAAGTGGGCCATATACATAGGCTCGAAAGATGAAAGATAGTTGGAAATACAAAAGCCATGTTCTTTTCCGCCTCAAACAATTTTGAATTTAATAATTGTGATAATTACATAAATTAGGCATGTAACATCCAAAAACCTGGTACATTTGGATAGTGTTATATTTTATTAATATTCGGGTTGCTTTAAGAATATAAAAAACTGCTTAAAAAGTGGTTAATTGATTCTAGAGTATACTTACTGCTTATATGCCAGCAAACCAATTAAAAACCAATTGTATCTGATTGTACGCCCGGTATTTGATTAAAAGTTCCGAAGTGCGTGACGCTAAATTGTTTTTTACGCCTTCGCCTGCTCCACAAATGGAATTTTTAATCCTTGGTGGCACTGTCGATGTCCTTAATTGAATGGGCTGTACTCTGTGGCTTTGGGTTTGGCTTTGGGCTGGCTTTGTTTTGGTTGTCGGACGCAATGGCACCTTTCATTATTCCGATGTTACCACGCGTGATGAACTTGTCGCCGACCACCACTGCACAGTAGTCCATAATTTATTTAGCCCAAAGGCTGGTCGCGGGGTGGTGGCACTGACACCGGTTATATTAATCAATAATTTCAGCTCTAATGCATGGCCTTGACATGGCATAAATAGAAGCAACCAGCTTGAATTAGCCAAGTTCGTTAGCCATTTAGCCTGCATAAACTGCCGATTAATACAATTAGGTTAACTGGATCCTTTCGACCTAAAGCTGTTTTCTTAAAGAATTTGAGTATTTAGCTTTGACGAGCAATTGTTTGAAGATATTCAAAGGTGTTTATATACCCGTGGATACTTTAAAGATGTGACATATTATATAAAATAATTATTTCAATGCACCCTAGCACGTGCTGATCCTTTTGGTCAAAAGGGAGTAAAATCCTTCATAAACAGAGCCTATCCCAACAATACAGTTGCAAATGAAAACTCACCACAATGAAGACAAGAACCTAAAAAGCTTTTCCAGTTAGCTTACAAGGCCCAAAGCACCGTAGCTTTCCAGAAAGCACCTACTGTCCCTTTAGCTCCATTTTCCTGGCTTCCTACCCGAATAATAGAACCCTGGGTTGCCAAAAGCACTACGTGGTTATTCGACAACGAACAGCTTACACTGACCAACTTGTTGATGCCTCGACAAAATGCACATTTGTTTATGTTTATTGCGGTTTGTCCGCCGTCAATTATTTGTTATGACGGGAAAATATACGTATAGAGTTGAGCAATCCCATGAAGAAGTATAAATCCGCTGGCAGCCTATTTCTGTTCGAGCCATCGGCGGAGTAGGCTGCTGCTCCCTCTACTTCTACTCAGCCAAGCTGGCTTCCCATGCAAGTAAGGATTTCGAGCCAGCTGCCTATGTGGAAGTCAGCAATGGTAGTCGACACAACGCGGAAAAATCGCCTGGCGGCCGGGAAAATGAGATCATCAGGTCGGCTGCGAAGGAGCACGAAAGGGAAATGCGACAGCGATTTGTGGAGAGCCCCAGCTGTGATCGTGACCAAAAATTGAAACAAAAAAATTAAGACGACTAAGTAAACATGGAAAAATTTGTTTTAAATATAAGTGGCATTGGGTAATATTTTCCATATCAGTAGACAGTCGGCTTGTTTTTGACCTACTCGAATTCTTTCCGAAATGTTTTCCACCTATTCGAGCATTGATGTGGGCGCCAACGAGGAAGTGGATCATACTCAGCAGGAGTTTTCTTCAAAAGCCGAAGAGGATGTGCAGTCAATCATCCGTTTGGCCCACCAGGAGCACGAGGCTCTAATACAAAAAAAGGTCATGAGCGCGATGAAGCAACGCGAAGAGGAGTTGGCCAAGCTGTGGGACAATAGACCGTCATCATCAAGTTTGGCCCAGATCAAGGCTATTCAGGATGAGGAACTTAGAGCTCTCTTGGACCAAATCGTTACGAATGAGGACAGTAGCGATGAAGATGAAGATGAGGATGAGGATGAAGATGAAGATGAAGACGAGGACGAGGAAGTCCCCTTTTAATGTCACTCAACTAAAAGACAATAACTATACCTATGTTAAAAATGTTGGATTCAAATTGATTTGAAACATATCAAGGTAGAAGACAACATAGTAATTCCTTCTCTTATTTAATCCAAGTAAATTAATTTGGGTGTTGACGTCTTCATCTAAACTACACTAGTCTGAAATCATCAAGGACAATTCCATCGAGACAAATTCCAGCTTAAACTGAGATTATAGAGTTTGCTTAATGCTGACCGATGCCTCTGAAATAGCTATGCGATATTCAGATATTCAGAAAGACATAAAAGCTTACACGGATTAATGTATGAGCAAAGTGGGTGGTGTAAATAATAAACCGACTTAGGTGGCAATTACGAGGATGATGATGACGATGGGGCGAAACTGGCAAGGTCTCGTGTGCATCTTGTAAGCCGCATGGCCAATTGTCATAATTTATGCAACAAGGAGCCCCAAAAAACCAAGCAGTCAACGTTTTGTCCCCCACTGAAACTTTAATTAAGTTGAACTTATCTATGCCTTACACATGAGACTTGAGCTTGTGCGGCATCCCTCTCCTTTCTCCCCTTCCCTCTCGCCCCCTCTCTTTCGCACTGCCATAGCCGTCTCGCTCCCTTCACGCGTAAGCCAGAAAGCGCTCTCAAATATGCAAATGAATGTGGCACTGGGACGTCAAATGTGGCTTTACACCCGCACACTCGCCCACACAAATACGCTGGCACCTTGGGGAACATGCATTTTGGTCATGTTTACAATGTCAGCTAGGATAACACACTGCGGATTGCAGCGGCTGTGTGTGTGTGTGTGGGGGGGCTTGCGAGCTTTCACACTGAAAAAAACAGTGAAATTGAAAATATTTCTTTCTATTCTCAGGTTCTAAAAGAAAAATATTAAATATGAGTATAGCCAAATGTCTGACAATCTATACAAGGTATTAAATCATATACATATCTGTATATACATATGATAGATACCCAGTTAGTCTAGTTATAATAGCCAAATGTCTGACAATCTATCAATCTATACAAGGAAATGTGTATTTCGGCACAGTTTGATGATACCCATTTAGTCTAGGTAGTTTGTTTCAAATAAAACATAAAATTCACTTAATGTCATACTTGCTTAAGACAGATTGTAAATAAAAAGAGAAGAAAAAAAAATGTTTGTTTCAAAACTATAATTCATTTAAAATTAGTAATTAGTAACTATTTGCGGTATTAAATGAACCCAAACCTAAAATGCACATTTAAATTATTGTTATATTAGGCGCACCCAATTTGTCCCAGTGTCTAAGCCATGTCAGCGAATTAGGCCAAGAGAGGGGTCGCTGAGAGAGCGCTGCTGGCATCAGCTGTTTGCAACGCCCACGCACAGCTGAGCGGTACGCCGCGAGAGCGAGCTTTCGACGAGAGCGCGCCGCTCAGCCGGGAGCGGGAGTCCTTTGGCTCGAAGGACTCGGTCGTCGGTGCTGGGCCAAGTCACGGCTCGGCTCCGCATCCCTACCTGGCGGAGCTTCGTCCTGGCTTTGTTTACATGCCTTTCAGGCGCTCCCGCTTCAGCTGCTCCTGCTCCTCCTCCACCGCCGCTCCTCCGATCCTGCCTGCATTGCAGGACGAGGACTAGGACTAGGACGAGGACGAGTGAGTGAGCCAGCGAGCAAGCGAGCGACCCACTTCGGGCGGCGGCCAGGCGCTTTCAATTTCGTTCAACCTGAATCCTGTAACACACGCAGAGTCCTGGAAACGAGTCCGATTCGAAAGACGAGCCCATCCATCGGCTGCGGACTCGGCGCTCGCTTTCAATTTCGCCTCGTTATTCGTTGGTGGCCGTTGGGCGGCCTCAGTCGTGTTTTTTTGTTGTGCCCGTTCGCGCGTGTCCTGCTGGCTGCTAAATGCCAGCTGCCTCCTGTCCGCTGGCACTCCGTCGTCCTACAGCCGAGCTCGGGAGCTGCAGTTCGTCCGCGCCTATAAGCCATATGAATTTCTACCATTTTTCTACTCATCGGTGCATCGGTGGCTCTGATAGCAAATAATAATACGAAATTCAAGAAAATATGCAACGCGGTTCGCAAGAAAGGGGCGAGTTGGCAAAGAAAACTTAGGACTAACGCCCACCCGAGAAGATGTTTGTGTGTGCAAGGAATGCGGTTAATAATTGATTCGGTCCACAACTGGCTGCGGCGAAGGGAAATTCGTATCGTTTCGTGCAGAATAAATAATGCAAAAATTACAGTGCAAATGTAATATGGAATTACAATCACAACCGCACCAAGGTGACCACAACAATCCTGCATTTGTCACTGCGACGTCGCTGGGCGCCCTTTGCTTTTGGCCACCAGGTAAGGAGCTCCTTAGGAGCACCAGCCCAGGAACTGCTACTGGAACTTGCAACTCGGATCCATCAGGCACGGCGGCGTCGCCCAAGTGACAATTGCAAATATGCAAGCCTAACGCAAACAACAGCACTCAAAGGCAAATCAATCAATAATAGAATGCAAGGAAAAGCAGATACGACCAACGGCAGATACTTTTAAATTCCACCTTCAATTATTTCGATTGACATGTGTGTGCATTGCAAGCCAAATACAATGGCCGGAAAATTAAATATTCATATGAATCGCATTATGGCGACCCACATATAAATTAAATTTCAATCATAAATGTTAGAATTGGTCCAACGAGCATAACAGATTAGCAAAATAAAATAAAACTCAATAACGAAGCAAAAAATATATAACATAACAAATAGAAATTCTTCTATTAAACTCGGATTCAATACAGTTAACGAAATGAATGCCATAATAATAATAATAATGTTACAGAAATTAAAAGCAAACAATTGAATTTGTTATTTATAAATGGCACTTAATGTCATATTCATAAACAGCTGATTGTTATTGCCAACATAATTTGCTATTTCAATGCAATTTGCATTGCAAAATCCACACAAATAAAACACTGCAGATAGAATAATTGTATTTATACTAAAATAAATACGTTTTCATCAAATAAACGATATATTCAACTGGCAAACAGTAGGTAACAAAAGCGCAATCTGCGAATGCCAATCTCAAAAGGGCCTTATATAATCAAAATAATTCATAACGCATAAATAATGATAAATTGAATTGCGAACCAGTAATAATAAAGGGAAACCTGAGACCAGCAATAGCAAGTCCGACAACAATTGGGCGAAAAAGGGCGGAATGCCCATAAGTATACACAGCTGCTAAAGTAACCAAACACAATTTTCATGCCAGGCAGCATGAAAAATGATAATGACAGGCGCCGCAAGCCAAACGTGAAAAGTGATTACATATATACCACAAGTATCTGCAGTTCTATATGCCATATCCGTAATAGTCGCCGCTTATCGATGGTGAAATATTAATTCAAGTCGTGAGTTTTGGTTGTCGTCCTAATGCCGATAAATCACAAGTCCTTGCCAACTGGCTCTTGGTGTTGTTTACCTGAAGGGGCTGCTAATTTGTTGCCACAGGAGCGTTACTCATTTCCGAGCAATTACATTAACGCCACAATCGCTTTAATTAGGCCAGCCACATGCAGACACACAGTGGGCCACGAAAGTATCTCTTCAGCTCGCATCTTGAACGCGATATGAAAAAAATGCAAACGCAAAGTTTCCCTGCGAAAAGTTCACCCTTTTTCGCTTTTGCCATTGGCGTCGTCATCGACGTCGTTGTCTGCCAGTCGAGACAACTTTGTTCAGGTGTTGTTGGTTGTTTGCGGCACACGTTTCTCGGTCCTCGGTCCTCGTTCCTCATTCCTCATGTTTTCACCAGAGTGTTGAGGGTTGCCTCCAGGCGATCCCACCTTTGACCTTTCGTCGTTTGTTTTTGGCAAGCGAGGCGGCCATAAAGGATATGATATAATTTTTAAATATTTCACATTATATTAAGACATTTACTACACAGAATTCTGCATATGAGGGAATCAAATCTCCACGATCCTTCCTTACGATTTTTCAATAGCTTATCCGTATCTAATACTTGGATTTTGAAATTTACATGAATTCCTTCTCTTGAGTTGGAATAGGAAAAGGGATTCTTGTTTAGCAATATAATAGGTATTTGTGTCAAAATTAAAAGGCACAAAATATTACCTATAATTTTTTGATATATTATAAATGCTCAAATTTCCAAAATATGTTTCAGATGGGCAAAGAATTTTCAATACTTAAAAGCCTTCCAAGAAATGTAATTTTGAATCTTTTGAAAGTTTTGGTTCGCTGAACTAAAACTAAATAAAAATATAGATATTCAAAGACCGAGTAATTTCCTATAACCATAGTTTGGCATTCTTTCTGTACAAAACTCTCACTTTCCTGTGCGGACGCGGCTTTTTCATAATTTAAGGCTTGCCAAGTGGCTTTTGCACCTAATTTCATGTTTCAAATTGGTTTTCGCCATAAGCACGTTGAGCTAGGGACCTTCTTTGCTCTCCCAGTTGACCTTCAGGGAGCATTTTGGGCCCCATTGGTTACCTTCCGTGTCTGGTAACAATTTTTCAGAATTCAGTTTTAGCCGGGCTAAGGAAGCGAAAGTAGTGCAAAGTGGCCAACCGGCAAACGCATACGAATTAAACGTTAGCGAAAAACTAGAACTTGGCTCAAATTGGGTGGCAGGAGGTGCTTACCACTCATCGCACAGGCTGCCATCGGCGAACGTGGCCATAATTCAAACGACGGCGCAAACTACTTAATGTTATTAGATATGTCTTTTTGGTCCTGGCCCCGGCCACGCCCCCTCCTTGCAGCCGTGGGGGCGGCAAAAACTTTTGCACGGATTTTCGAGCAGTGTGTGTGGGCGTGTAGCTGTGTGTGTGGGCCAAGTTTATGCTGATGTTGTTGATTACATCTGCCGCTCCTGTGGTCGGCCGCCTTTTGGCCTCGTCCTGCCACAGGCACATCCCCATCCCCCTCCCCCTCCACAGCCACTGCTCCTTTTTCTTTTTAATTTTTTGTGTGTCCTCAACTTTCCCTCGTTGACATTTCGT